ATAAACGGGAGAATTTTAATGCACCACTGTTAGATACATATATTATACAGATTAACCATGTTTAGATGGATGTTACTGTTTCCAGAATACTTATTGTAGGGTAGTTTTGTATAAAGTGTAACTGTTAAGTACTGACATTTAAACTTTCTAAAATTTTAAATGAAAATATCACTAAAACTTAATGTTTTCATTTCACAGCCAAAGACCACTGGGATTTTTCTTTAAGAAGAGGTTTGTAATAAAATTGATATTTTCAAAAGTCTTATGATAGCTAAAAATAGCTAGCACTTATATGGCATTTATTGTGTGCCAGGGACAATGCTAAATGCTTTACAATTTTTACATTTGATTCTACAACAACCCTGGGAAATAGGTGCTATTCGTATCCCCATTTTACAGATGAGGGAAACTGTGGCAGATAGAGATTAAGTGACTTGCCCAGAGTCACATAGTTAGTGAGGACCTATAGTACTCTGGTCTTCTTGACTCTAGACCCTGGATCTATCCACTGTACTACCATTACTTAATAATATATTGAATTCACATGTATGAACTTGCATAACTATGGGCAAGGAGTAGAATGCACAAAAATGATCATTTCTATTTTAAAAACAAGAAAAGCCAGTGACCCCTAAAGAGATTTGACCAAGATAACCCATTTAGTAATGCCAGAGTTGGGCTCAGACCTTAATCTTTTGACCTCAAGACCTGTGCTCTTCCTGTTATATCACCCAGCACCTCACGCCCTCTTTTCCAAAATCAAACTATTATATTCCTCCTCTTTCATGCTAGCTAGCTAAGACACAATTCTAAGCTTAAGTATCCACAGCAATTTTGTGCTTACACAACTGAAAATTCCATGTATGACAACTCTTTGTTATAGCTTAGTTTTTTAAAAATCAAAATCAAAATACACGGTGCTTGATAAATCATTTGATTTTGGCAGATCTGCCATGGGAAGTATAGAAGGTATTTTAGCATTATCTGTTAGAAGGCTATTAAGCCAATAATATGGCTAAACTTAAATTTTTTATAAACAATGCAAATATTTTTATATAAAAGTTAACATGCATGAATTACTTTGGAGAATCTGTGATTTCATTGGTATGGCTCACTCCTCCCCAAATGCAGATAGTAACTAACTCACTCATACTCTCTCTCTCTCTCTCTTTCTCTCTCCCCCTTACCCCTCCCCTTCTCTCTCATGCTTTATCTACGTCCTCTACAGCAGATAAAATAATGATGGTTATAATGAGAGCAAGCATTCATTATGACACCTTAAGGTTCTCAAAGAACTTTTTATTATCTCTTTCGATCCTTGCCACAACCCTGTGGGGTAGGTTCTATTATGATCCTCATTTTACATTTGAAGAAACTGAAGCAGACCAGACAAATGACTTGCCCAGGGTCACACAGCTAATGAGTACACGAGATAGGATTTGAACTCAAGTCTTCCAAACTCCAAGTCTAGCACTCTATATCCACTGTTATGATAATTCAATAAAAGCATATATATAATAATGGCTTTTAAAATGTATAGCTAGGATTTGGAACCCAATGAATGAACAGAATGAACTCAATTTAAGATTACCTACAGAGTAACTGGGCATTTGTTCAGGAGCTGCCAGAGTATCTTACCAATTTTAGAATTTAAAGAGGTGGTAGTAGGGCAAAGGAGTGGTGGCCGACTTCTACTCTCTGGAAAATCTGCCCAGTGCCCTTTAGGCTCATGGGAACATTCCTGGTTGGCTCTCTGTAGGTAATCTGACAGGGGTTGGATTCTGGCTTCTTAAAACAACATAATAAAGCTTCATTGTGTTTTTGAATTCAGACAATGCTAGAATCTTCCCTTCAGTCATATGAATGTAAGGAAAAAATGAAGGGGTTTTTTTTTGAAGATGTGGGCGAGGGGAATCATAATAGCTTTTGTCAATTATTTGAGGGGCTATCAAGGGAGTGGGATTTGACTTCTCCAGCCTGGCCCCAGAGGGCAGAACAAGGAACAATGAGCACCCATGTGACTTTAGGCAAGTCAGGGAAATCCTCTGGACCTCAGTCTGCTCATTTCTAGAGTTGAGGAGATTGGATTTAGTGGCCACTAACTTCTTTCCAGGTCTTTATTTATGATCCTCCTATCCTAAGTCAGGAAGAAGTTTCTTCCCCCACCCCTGGGGGTCAAGCAAATGCTTGATGATCTCTTATTGAGAATTATAGAAGGGATTTAGCACAGGTATAGGTTGGACTAAATCCCCTCTGAAGCGCTTTCCAACTCTGAGATTCTGTGATTCATCCAACGTCATTTCACGTCTCAAAATCTGGTGGTTTTTGATATTAGGTCCTTATCAATACGCTTTGACTGCAAATAAATTCAAATCACACATAGGACCTAGACGAAGAAACAGATTTTCACTATCATACCCTTTTCAACAAATTCCAACCATAAGGGGAAAAACAGGTCAGGGCAAAAAGTTTTGAAGGCTTAGAATTCCTTTTCCTTGACCAAAAGATATAGAGAAGATGAAAGGGAAAAAATGGAGAAATAAGTTAGTAGGAAGAGCTCCCAGTTAAAATGTTCTGGATTGCTGTTTTTCACAAGGAGTAAAATAGCCACAGAACAAGGAGGGAACAAGAAAAATGAGATGCCAGAAAAATGAACAACTGAAAAAGAAGGGAATGTAGAGTTTTAAACACCTAGGAAAAAAAGTAATTGTCCCTCCAAATTTGGAGGACATCCATACACACTGTGTTCCCACGTCTCAAATGGCATATTTGAAAAGCCAACCCAATTTAATTCTGACCTGACTTTGAATTGCTGCCACTGATGATCTGTGTGTAATTTTCTCAAAAGACAAAAGCAAATATGTAGTCCAAAGTTCTCAATGAAATGTAAATGAATGCCCTGGTTTCAATGCTGAAGGCCTCCAGAATGCCATGGTCACCAAATACAATCATTATATGAGACCACCAAAGTCATTCCCACAGTAATATACAAGAACACAAGAACTTAGGACAGTTCCATTTCTTTTTTTTTTTAACTGTTCTAATACCTGACTGCACTTCATTCATGTCTCAATTTAACATTTAACATCACCCTGGTAATTACTAAATCCTAGCTCAGCGTGTTGTCGTTAGAACACTTTGGTTTGCCTTTGAGACCACTGAAGAGCTAGCTCAACATTCCCCATGCCAACATATGCAAGTCATTTCAATGCATTTCTCCAGAACACTGCACAGGTAAGAGATTACAACCATTATCCGGCTAAAAGACTTAGGAATTCTAGAGGTTTCTTTTAGCTTTTACATGATCCTCAGATTTGAGCCTAAAAAAAACATCTTTCAGATCATTTTTAACTTTCAAATTTCAGTAGTCAAGTTCAAGGCACCCCCCTGGAATTGTACACAAAACTGAGTTTCCTATGTGAATGTGCCAAATACTGCCCAATTTGCCACCAACCTGACTGGTTCTGCTCAATGTTCATAAAATAACTATCTTTCTTCTCGAAAATGGGGGGGGAGAAAAGGAGAATTTTGATGAAATTGTAACTGAAAACTAAGAAATATGCCAAAGAAATAAATCAACATTTCAATTATGTGATTTATAAAATACAGCATGCATGTATTTAACAGGCAGCTACCGCAACACATTAAGATAATATACTAAGAGTCAAAAATTTGAGCATTCATTTGCAATTCATTCTGTCATATTCTCTTTGTGCTGGCAAAGCTCACGGGACCAGGGCCGAACAAATGCTAAATCACACAAGGTTACTTCATAGGCACCTATCAGACAACTAGACAGATGGAATATAGAGAATTATTATTATTAATTTCCAATTCTATAAATGATTATTCCAGATTAACAGAACTGCATGCCAATTCAATTTGTAAAGACTTCAAAAATCTTTATAAAACTTGCTTTAAAAATCTTAATAATGGTAAAATACTAAATTCTAGAATACAGTAAGTACACCGAGACTTCACTATTGTGTAATCTAGTGCACAGAAAAAAAGGAAGTCAGAATAATTTTCTATCTGTCCTAGAAGCTATTGAAATGTTTATACACCTAAAGGATCTTGCTGCTTACTATAGCCCTATAGCATGGACATAAGGACTCCCATTATAGCAAGGTACGAATGTACTCTGAAAAAAAAGAGAGTAAACTTCATCTTCAAAAGCAATTCACTTTCTTTTTATCCATCAGAAGTACTAAATTGCAACAGAATTTCTACTGGTAGTTTCAACTACTTCTAGCAAAATTCATGTTTAAAAATTAAAATAAAACAATAAATCTGCATCCCCCCCTTAAAGTTTCTGACCACTGGACATTAGATCATAGAGGAAAAATAAGGTTATATACTTCAAGCTAACTTAAATCAATGCCAAAGAAATGAGGAAAAAAAAAATTTAGGTCTAAAGGAATGTAAGTATTCAATCCTTGGCTGTAAGTAGGTAATAGAAAGGTTCCATTTCTATTAGATTATTTTCTTTTCTTTCAGTTCTAATAGTAAATGGCATTTCTTTTCATTGGAGCTTAGAACCTGATGCTTATTTGACTTATTAGCACTCCTAGATGACCTTATTTTGTAAGCTACATTTAAAACTAGCAAAAGTTACTTAAACAATCATCTAAATTTAGTGAACCTTTGACAAGAGTGAGAACCTCTTTACTCCTTCTATGAAAAAAAAAAAAACAAAGCCCCAACTGAAACGCTTGAAAATTGAAAAAGCAAGCTCATTGGAATGGTCTTCTCCTGAACTGGTTTTTTTTTTTTTTTTTTACCATTTTTCATTAAATTTTCCCAAGGGAAAATACCATACAAGTTATACGCAAAATGAATCAAGTAGATTTAAAAAGAGCGCCAAGTGGTCAAACCCATTTGCATTTTTGGTCAATTTGATCTTCTGATACCAGTTGCTTTAGAATGTAGCAATATTCCTTTTCCAATGGGGGCTGCCTCCATATAGTGTTTCATTATTGATCACATGCTAGGCTAAGTACCTGGGAAAGGGGACACTCCTTGGCCAATGAACTCTGGTTCATATCCTTCAGTAAGTCCTTCAGAGCATTTCTTACGGTTGTGTGAGACCATTGTTCTGGAGGCAAGTCTTCTAGTTTAGGGCAACTATTTGAGACATAGATTAGAAAGGGGATTATTACAAGATTGCATCCTGCTGCAGAACATTCCTTTAAGACAGACAGATTTCATTTTGCGCATCAAGCAGATGCATCTGGAGATTGCTCTCGGTCTCCTGATTGTTCCGATTAGTTAATTACTTTATACAACACATCTGCTGTATTGATGCATGAATTATACATCAGCTGCATGTGGTGACTATTTTTTCATGTTACTTCTACCTTTCTGCTCTGATGCGCTTGGTAAGACAATTTAAGGTGTAATGCTTTCTCATGACCGATCAGGAAAAGCATTAATATATTAACTATTTTCCGTTCATCGCTATTCACGTGACTTAAAAAAATAATAAGAATGTAGTCATAGTGAGGAAGTCATTCTATCACAAAATGTACACAGATGGCACTGTTCATGATATGCAAAAATATTTTTCTCTTAAGTAAACTTTATGTAAAATGCCTTCTTGTAATGCATCATTTAATTGACTAAATGCAGCAGAGTTGCAACGATACCTACAGAAACCAATCAATTAAAAGCTAGAAGAAGAAGGGGGGGAAAAGTTCTCTTCAACAGGATAAATTGGAGAACAGCAAGACAAGATTAATTTGGACTTAAGCTTTCTAAAAAACCATTCCAGATCTCATTGTGAATCTGAGTAGCCATGAAGGACTAGGGAGGCAGGGTTCTTTTCTCACCTCCTGCCTGCTATGGCAGGACTCACCTGTGTAACTGGATTTTCAAGGTGACTACATGATATACATCCTGTAGCATGTCTGCAACAGTCGCATCAGGGGCATCTGTCACATAGGACAGTGGAACTGGATTCCACTTTCCAACCTGGATTAGCCCTATACCAGACAGAGAAGAGATTGGAGACTCATTAGTCCTCTAGTGAAAAAATTATACTGGGACTTTTCCCTATTTCCACTCATTCTCCCACCCCCCTTTCCCAACAATACTATGATTCCTACCTGGCTCATTTTAATCCAAAGAGTAGTAAGCTAACAAAGATATTTCCATTTTAGCTTTCCAGATTATGAAAGAAATAGTACAAGATTTTTTTTTTAACTCTTTGGAAATAAAAGCCTATCATTAACATTTATATATAAAGTTGTATTTTCCCCAACTTATAGAAAGTTCTAATCCAACAGAACTGAACCAGTTCTGAAAGGCTTTACAATTTAGATAAGAATCCCTAACTGCAATGGGAACCAGCATTGAAAAATACTTTACAGCCCATAAAACCATCAGAAACAGAATAAAAGAAACAGAACTAGATATTCAGTCATAAATGCAAATTGACTCTCAACAGTCCATCTGCTCAAATATGCTCGACACTTCCTTGTGGATCCTCAGTGGAGCAGATTATTAAGGTCAATAAGCATACTAATGATTCAGTTGAAGCAATTTAAAAAAAAATCTACCTCAACATTCCACATGAGCAAAATGTGTGTTAACTAAACCAAAATGAATTAAGCCAATTTTTTAAAGTCACAGACTAACAAAAATATAATCCCACCTCAAATGTACATCTAAGAAGAAAAACATACAATGTTTCTTCCATAAAGTACACATAAAACACCAGACTTTTTTTTTTTCTCTCCAATTGCACGGATGTATGATTTACCTTTGGCTTGGGCAGCAGAGCTGTGAGAATATCCAAGAGACAGCAATGCCATTTCTATCAGTTGGTTGAAAAGCATGTCCTTTCTTACCAACACAAATTCTGCATGTTCCTCCTTACAATCATATTCAATGGAATTTTCATAATGCTCCACCACACAGAAAACAGGTAGCATTGTTCCTATCAAAAAGGCCAAAAAGACAAAACAAACACAAACCAACAATTTTCAACCAACCCATTCTCTGTTGGGGGGGGAGGGGTGGGGGAGGATGGGGTATAAGGGAGTTATGAGAGTAAGTCGTTGAGGCAGTGAGTCAGAAATGGGGGCTACACTGGCAAGGTATACAGCACTGAAGCAAACGTGAATTCACACACAGACACACACACACACACACACACACACATTTCCATCATTATCCAAAAATAAGCAAATAGAAACCAAAGTATTTCCTACGAAATTGGTTCTAGCCTATTTATAGAACTATATTTTCTACATAGAAAGAATGTTCAATTACCTGTCTAGCAAAAGAACAATGTTGATAATGTTGACTGGAGAGGAATAAGTTGGCTGCCTCTGTCCTGTCTGATTTGTTGTGACTGGTGCGCAGACTGAGAACCCTAAACACATACTGCAGATGTCTTATGAGTAAGACATTTTAATCCCATCTAGATAATTTTGTTAATATTAAATGATCTCATTTGGATCAACATCATTAAACTGAACCTCCTTTTGGTAATGTATCTGTCCTAATCTGACTATATTATTAAAAAAGAAGAAAATCTTATTCAAATTACTCAGGATATTGTCTCTTTTGAATATATCCTGAATGCTTAGGTAAATTTGTATATTTGAGAAATATGACTTTTCATTTTATATATTTTATATTATCTGTTAAAAATATATTATATGTAGGTAACACGAGAATTTTTTGATAAATATTTCTTTTTTGGTCCAAAGAGGAAAAAAAAGGAAGAAAAATGAACCTTTTTATGACTTGTGTTAAGATCTAGGTATTTAGGTAAGATTTGTGATTTTTTTCTTCTCCACATTTACTTAGTTCAGCATTATTCATGAACTCAGTAGCCAAGAAAATAGCAAATTCAGGTAATTTATTATTGGAACAGCAACTATTAAAAAAAAAAAGAAACATCTTTGTACTTAGTACACTGGCTGAGTACCTTATCGTTAAAATTTTACTGGTTAAAAGAAAAGGGTTAAAAAGCAGATGCACAAGAACTGTCTTGTGGCAAGCTGCCAGAAGGGTAGCATCTTTAGCATAAATGATGACAAGGGTTACTTTAACAGGGCACCCAGGATCTCCAATTAGTCCGACAATGTTAATGCTTCCATAAGTAGTGCCCTCTGCACTCACAGAAGCCTCCTAACTCGCAAAGGTGTCGAATATGTACTGTAGCTAGAATTATGATTTCTTATTGCCAATAGAGATGGCCTTTACAATTCTCGACTTATGTTTCTGCATAACAAAAAAATGACCTAAAAAAGGGCCATTTTCAACATGTAGATTTTTCACTGAAGCTTCAGTGACCTGTCATAAGAGATTTGCAGCTCTGACAAACTAGACCCTTTAGGTTTGGTTAGGAAAGCTCACAAACTCACTTTGGTGAGTTTGTGCCCAACAGGCTCAGCATGAAGAGCCAGCTGAAAAGCTTGCCAGTGTTCATGTCGTTCATTCAGCTGTTTTATGAGTGGGAGATTGGTCAGGAAGAAAGAAGACTTGGGGAGACCATGGCAAAAGTGGTGATTTCTTTATTGGTTAAATTATTCTCTGGAGTATTTCACAAAACAAACAAAACCACTGCTCTTCTTTCTAAGGTAGGGTTTCCTAAGTTTGGCTACAATGTTTACCTGCCACTTGCAGAAAAACAAACAAACAAACAAACCAGAAATCCTGCACAAAAGATAAAAAATATCAATCTTTCTAGCATCTTTATTGTTGAAAATAAACATTTTTATTAACTAAGGGAAAACTCTGTATCTATAAGTGCTTCTGAAAAAACCTAAAGCATTTGTGCAGGAAGTGAAAATACTTTACTTTGGTTTCCCCTCCCCCTCATGTCCCCCTGACTTCAAAGAGTTAGGTTAATATAACAAAAGCACAAGCACTGATTTTTCATTTCATGTAATGATACAAAAGTGTGCTACTCCAGGCTGCTTCTTGCAGCTGGGAAATGTTTATAGGCGATGTCGCTATTCAAATGGACTGCATGTCTTCAGACACAAATAGGAACATACTGACCAGATTTAGATGTATGCTGGAGATAATCAAGGTAGATATTGACAGTGCGACACACAAGGATCATCTGACTGCAAATCAAGCCGCTAAATCTCTTAGTGAACTGTCACTGCTGCTCTCCTGTTTACGTAAAAGGCAGCCAGCCCGCTGACTGCCCGGGCTGATCACTCTTGCTAGGGCTGGGCTGATCACTCTTGCTAGGGCTTGGCTAATCCTCCAAGTGCAGCAACTTTATAACCTTCTAGTATTAAAGAGGAGCACATTGGTCAGTGTTCAATGCTAAAAATATATCATGACTTCAACCTGAAGGCAGGGCTAGAGCTTTTGCTGAAGGTTTACGAGTCTGTGTAAACAGCACGTCTGCCATAAGGAGCAGTGAAGTCTGTAGAATCCTTGTCTAAAACTGTCCTGGCATTAAAGTTTGCTGTGCAAATATCACATAATACCAGAGACAGCTGAAATCTCCTATTTAGGAATTTATGGAACTTATATGTTTGCAGGCGTCAGAAAGTCTTTTTTATAGAGCCCCAGTGCCTCACAGTACAATATTAATGCACTCTGTTGGAAAAGCCATAATAAATTATATTTTTAATGCTCTTACCCTGGCTTTCTTAAGATGCATACATTCTTGGCAAACAATCAATAAATAGGGTAATCATGAGCAGAGGCCAAAGAATTTGCTGAAGTGCTGTTTTCCCATTTTTAATAGATAAAGATCTAACAATACGGACTGCTGTGTCTGTTCATTTCGGGATCAATATATTCTTTGTTTTCGCCAAACCAAGGAAAAAATAAATGATTGTATGATAAATGTTATGCATCAAACACAATGAAATTCCACTGCCTTCTAACTTTATCTACTTAATATTCTTGGTTGCTAAAAGGTTGCATTTTTATACTCTGCTTAGCAAATGCAAGAAAAATCTGAATTATAACATATAGCAATTTACAGAGAAACAAGGACCATTATGGGACATGCTGAATTATATCCAGTATATTATGCCTTGCTTTACATGAATCATCTTGTTGAATATGGTCAAAGTTTTAAGACATTGTCATCAATTTAATTTAAATTATTTATATGAACACTCACACAACAGAATTCCCAAAAAGCTGGTCTAACATTTCACATCCTTAATAAAAATGCCCAACTGTAACAAATTTGGGACTAGAAAATACAATCATCTGCTCCTCTATTTTAAATAATGAGTCTACTTTTAAAGATTCAACTGGAAAAATTGATGTTAAAATAATGCAAACCTCACATACTGTAGTAGAAGTTATTTGTGAAACCACTTCAAAAAAGTTAACAGATACCTTTCGGACAATTAGCCTCATGAAAAACCTCTGCTGATACTCAAATAATAGAAAGTTCTAGGATCTTTATTTCTACTCAATGCTACCTTGGGATGACATCCACCAGCATCACATGAGTTCCTGATCTTTTGGAAGACTCAGACAGATACCTAAAGTCAAAAGACTCCACCTGGTAGAGGAAGATGCTCCACCCAAATATGATGTTCACATTGCCCAAATGTGATTTACTTGTGGGCCAAGCAATGCAACTCTTTTCCCAAGTGAAACAGAAGCAAAGAAAAGGAAACACAAAGTATGGCTTTTCTCGCTAAACAGTCTTGGAGAGTATTACAAGTTTTCCATTATGCATCTTTAAGATATTTACCTTTCCTAATGTTTGTTTTCATCAGATGTCCAGAGTGTTTTAAAGGCACTCCTTGCATTTTAGCTCCTGTACTCCCAAGTCTTCCTCTTCCTAATGGGCTCCCATTCTGCTCCAAGCGGGCAATTTTGGCTGGTGGACCCTTCGGATCGCCTACATTGTTAGACATTTCTGAATGTTCTTTCCCCTGAGTTGTCTCGTTCAAATGATCCATACTCAGTCCCGCCTCTAAAAATCACCTGCCATGTTTAAAAAAAAAAAAGTTGTACACATGTGTAAGTACATATGCATGTAAATATTTTGAAGATTTTTGTCTCTCTAATTTATGTTCTTTAAAATGAGCACTTGCCTGATCCCAATCTGTGCAAATAACATTAGAAGAAAAATAAATTAATCAAAATTGCTCATTTTTTCCTAAACTGTTCAAATACATCTGGGTAAAGGTATCCTGTTTTCTATTTACAGAACTATGTTAAATACATGGGCTTATTTATGGAACAAATGTATCTGGAACAAACATAGCTACAAAATGACTAAAGTATGGTGTAAACAATGATTTTTATATTCTTTATAGTAATTAAAAATTAAAAGTTCATTAATAAGTCAAATATTAAAACTTTAGTCAAGGGTACAATAGACATAGTATAAGATATATCTACACACACACACACACACACACACACACACACACTCACTCACAGAGCCTATCTCCTGAGACACCTGGCAAGTTCATCAAGACTTTCTATTTTCCTTTCAGGCTAACATAGGAGAAGAGTTTTTCTCCTTTTGAGGTCCTGAGATTCCTATTACGTATTAAAAATGCAATCAACTCTATATCCAAGATGTGACTGAACCCATCTGTGTTCATGAAAATATATCTCTAACAGAGAGAAGTAAAATATTTAAAATCAATGCATTCTAGGTGTTGGTACACTAGAGTCCTTAACATTTAATTAAAATTTAGTAGCCTATTAATGATATAAAAGTACTAATAATTTATGAAACAGAACATTTTGAAAAATATTTTTCACATATTCTCTAATCTTAAATGTATAGATCAGCTTAAAAAAAACAATACTGACAACACTATATTCCTAATCTTCAAATAAAACAAATATTCATTTAAAATAATAGCTACCTTTTGTAGGATGCCTTAAGGTTTGCAAAGCATTTTGCACAGGTTATCAACTTTGCTGCCCAATAAGGGCAATTTTAAAAATCAATTTCAAGGAAACAAATACTAGTTTATAGACATTGTTAATAACAGTAGTTTAAAGGAATTATGTTACAGCTTTAGACTTGAAGTATCATCTCCTTTATGAGGAAGACAATGTGTGACCATTATGCCAATCATGTATGCAAAATAGTCAAAACTATGGTCACCAAGAACAGGTGAAGAGAATTATTTTATGAACTGCTATAGTAGTAGTACAGTAATTGTAGCTGCTGTGAGTACAATTTAGAAAAAGTAAAGTGAATTTGATAATTGGGATGTTCTTCTAGCTATCTTGCAATTCAAAACATTCTATGCAATTTTTTTTATGACACCAAAGTTATGTAGGTCCAGATTTGTCAAGAGATATCACTCATTACAACAGAATTTGCTGTAAACATTTTTTTTCCTGCTTCAAAATACACTAAATTGTCCTATATAGTCAAGGTGTGTGTGTGTGGGGGGGGGATGTTAATTTGGAGATTTACAAGCAACCTTAAGAATGTCAGTTGAATGACTGTAAAGTTTGTGAAATAATGGTTATTTATCCTTGTACTCTAGGGTGGCATGCTGAGAACCGAAGGTTTAGCATTGATTGTGGTCCCATCTGTTTTTGGTTATGAGTCTCATTAACAATAAATGTGCCTATTTTAACCACTTTTTATCAAGATTACTCTTTTCCATTAATATCAATGCAGTGTAAAGCCAAAAAGAGAGCTATGATTATTAACTTCTAAAAGCTTTCCTCACAATATTTCATGTACTGATACAAATTTGTTTTTCTGAAACTGTTTTACCTTGATAGAAATTTGGGATTCTTTTAAAAACATATCGTGTATAGAAATATACACATAAAAACATTTTAAAAGTCTTGAGGTTTTGGGTAACTTACAAAAACACGTACATCATAGCATCAAAGAAAATGTTATGAAACATGTAATTGTCATAGATCTTACGAACACACCAAGCACAGTAAATTAAAGTGATAGGTTGTAATTTAGTCACTTATTGACTACTATCAAAACACCATATAGGTCATTTTAAATAATTCTTAGACTACCCACCCATAGTCATCAGTTAAATACTCAGTTATCTTGTAAAAAGCTTTACATTACAAAGCAAAATTACATGCACATAAAACACCTAATTTGCTCATTTAAACTCCATGCCCAAGGCTAAAGTTCACTGAAACCTCAGTTAGGAATAGTGCTGAGCAACCCCCAGCATGGCCTGCCCAAAATGACAGCAGCAAAACGTGCCTGTTATCCTAAGAGATGCCAGAGAGTTTCTTTTGAGTTTCACAAATCTATTTTAAGGCAATTTCTTGCCCACACATTTAGAGAGGGGTCACTGTCTCACACATACACATATATACTTACACACACACACAAATATAAAATAAACCACAAAACTGTTTTCTAAGGAAATTATGAACATAATTTCTGAATGAAATGCAAAAGATCAGTCATAAGTAATTTCCTTAAAATACTCATCTTTTAAGAATATATTATTTCTGCACTTCAAATTCGTTTTAAATTACTTATCCCTTAGATCATCCCCTTAGCCTCCACATAACCCCATAATCACATTGGAGAGACTGTTCTCTTATCCATTCCATATGGCCGTCAGAATCCAGGCCAAGCTTTCACTGTGACCTTTTAAAGAGACAAAGAAGCAAAGTACTATCTAGAAACAGAAACACTGCAGTTTTACTGAGTGAAATTAGCAAAACCAACCTGAAACTCACCACTTCAAAACTTGACAGCACATAAATAACAAAAACAAAGGAGATTTCCTTTGCAGCCCGAGATCTTGAAGAGGAAGAAGTTCAAGACTGATGTTTTTCTATATCCTTTTTTTTATTAAAAAAAAAAAAAATAGCAGCAGACCTGAAGGCGACTTCCCCCTTAAATTGTATTATTTTGTCTCCCCCACCCCCCTCCCCCCCTAAGCGGGGGAAGGGCAGAAATAAACATCAAGATGAGGAGAAACCATGAGCGCAAAAATCAGAATTCAAAAATTGTTATTTTCTCAAATGTCTCTTGGAGAACAGGGTTTTCAATGGGGGAGGAGGGAGACTGGGAAGTGAGTAGAGAGAAGATAAAATTGATCTGACAAGTGAAACGTTGAAAAAAATCGCAAAAACAAAGCAGAAAGCGCTAAAAGGTCCACAATGAGATGATGTTTGGGGGTGTGTGGTGTGGGGGGTGATGGTCGCTGATTATCTTTTCTTTAAAAGCGAAAAAATCACTGCGGACGAGGTCTAATGAGGGAAAAAAAAAGGTTCTCTTCTAGCTCTCTATCTCATAGGCTCTCCGGAGTGAAAAAAGCAGAAAGTCTACTTCTGGCTGTCACTTGGAGTATTATTCTCCAATAACCCAGGAGAACCACAGGGAGGAAAGAAGAGGGGAGGGGGGGAAGCAACCTTTCTCCCACCCTCAATCCCGCCCCCCCCAGAAACAATTGACAGTAACATTAACAAGCCTAAACTTTCTCCCTGAACCTCCAAACCCAAGCCAAGAGCTCTACCGGTGGTAGGAAGGGCGGAGGGTAAAGTGTAGCGAAAAAAATACGGGAAAAGGCACTAAAATACCACTTTTAATTTAGCCTTCGCTCTTCTTAAAAATAGCAGAGAGGATCTGTCCTTTCCTATTTACCCGGGGCTGTTGTGTGTGCCTGAGAGAGTAATGGGGGGGGGGGGGGAAGAGAGAGAATAAGAGGGCGAAAAAGGAGAGAGGAGAGAGAGGGAGAGGAGAGAGAGGAGAGAGAGAGGAGAGAGAGAGGAGAGAGAGAAGAGAGAGGAGAGAGAGGAGGGAGAGAGAGGGAGAGAGAGAGAGAGAGAGAGAGAGAGAGAGAGAGAGAGAGAGAGAGAGAGAGAGAGGGAGGGAGGCACACACCACCACCTTCCACCTCCACAACGAACTCCTCTCCCCTCTCCAAAAAAAAAAAAAAAAAGTGGACCAGATTTCACTCCTCTATGTCCGAAGGAAGCAACAACAGCCACAATGACGATATTTTAAAAATCAAAGACCCCAACAAAACTGCTCAAGAGTTTCTCAAAATGAAGGGGGAGGGGGTGTCCTTTTAAGTCCTACAGGCTTTATTCTTGTTTCCCTGGCTGGATAATATGATTATTGTGATTAGGCCGTTTTGGTAGTTGTTGCTGGATGTTACAGAGATAGATGTGTGTGTGTGTGTGTGTGTGTGTGTGTGTGTGTGTGTGTGTGTGT